CAATTAATATTACATCAATTAAGATTTTACAAAATCTATGTACATAGTTGAACATACTACCAGTCGATGGTTTATAAAAAATCGTTCTGTCTGTTTCATTTCAATGCTTATTTTTTTCTCTTGTTTAATTCATTAGTATTATTTTTATAGAAAGAATAAGTCTTTATCATACACGCTGAAATATATTATAATGTGTGCATCATGTGTGTTTCATGTAGTTTATGTGTAAATTGCTGTTGATATATCAGAATCAGCTTATCTCAATTAACATTGAGATGTTAATTTCTGTTAATAACTATTTTGGTTGATATATAAAGTCTTCATACAATTATTTCAATACAACAATATATGTTTCAACATGTATGTTAATTTATATTTAAACTATTGAGAATCGAGATGACGGGATAGTACTAATGAGTTTTCGTCAATCGAATATTATTGTATTTTAAATAGAGTATCATATAAGTTATAATATTTTTATGGTTTTTGGATATTCTTCCAGTTGGATAACTATGACATATACGTAGGTTGATTCTTAAATGTATATTTATATTTTGAATGGTGAATTTATATATTACTAAAAATATAAAATAAATATGTACATATCTATGTTCTACATATCCTAATTGAAAAAGGTGTTACCTAAACGTAATACTATTGCATGTCTTAGCATTGAAAATACTAAATATTTCTCGAATAGTTTCACATTCATTTTAAATTCTTATAAATCATTATTCACTTTAATAAATCACATTATTCGCTTTATTTATTTGAATACATAATAGATTTTAATTACATCAAAAATAAGAGCTTAATGGCTTAAGGTTTATTTAACTCATATCGATAGATATTTTTTGTAAACATTAGATAAACATTAGATAAGTTTAAGTCTACTATAATATACGGTAGGCATATGAACATATTGAACATTTTCTTTAATTATCTGTAATTAAGTTAAAATACGTATATTGTAGATTCATACGACATTTATTATTAATCTTATTATGTAGATTCATCGACCAAAGTATGGACATCCATTTAAAAATCATTTTATATTTTAATATAAAAATGCTTTTTTAATTGAAATCTGTTTGAATAATATATTATTTGTTTGCCTTTAATTAATTATTTGTTAATTTTGTTCATATTTACAATTTTTTGATTCAGTTAATTTAATTTATAAATTACTAAAATTGTATTTAGTCAATATTATGCTTGAATGAAAATAACTGTGGGATATCGATTGCGAGTTTACTTTAGAAAAATGAATCCAGAAGAAGGACAAAGATTTTTTCATTTAAAGCTTTGTTTAAAAAAAAAACCAAGTTTAAACATTAACTAAAATTTATCTCATTTTGGACTGATCAAGACGAATTATGAGCAGGAAATTATTCGCAATATCTATTTGCAAATTAAATGTAGAACATAAGTTTTTCAAGATTTCAAGATTCTCTATTTTAAAGGAAGTGAACGTAAGAACTGGCAATTATTTAGTTTGCTTATATAATGTTGTCGAAAACAATATATTTCTCGTTTATAGTAATTTAGAAATGGTAATTTGTATCATAAACATACGTTTATAAATACGTTAAAAATACGATATAGAATGACAAAAATATTTTTGCGAATATTTTGAAAACTAAAGATGAACGATAATAACATAGGGAAAACAATGTTTAGAATAATGACTTTGATGAAATATTTCAAGATCGTTGAAATTGGTGAAGAGGATAAATAAATAATCATCTGAAAATTTATTAAGTATATTTCTACTAAGCCAATTTTGAATAAAATATATTTTATTCTTTTGAAAATAAAACTTTATACGGAAATATTTTATTCTATATTTTTTACTTTTTTTCACAGACAGAATAATCTCCTATTCGGATTACTTATTCCTCTTCAGTTTAAAATTAGACAAATTCAAATACTCTGAATTTTCGATTTTCTTGATGATTTTTTCGAAATGAAACTTCTAATAAAAAAAATTCTTTCTTTTCGATTCATTTTTTCGCGTAGAATGAGCGATTATTGAATGTCTTGTACATTGATATTAACAAAATTCTGCAATTCGAAAATTTAAAAAAATGTGAAATTTTGTACAAATATAATTTACTAGATATTAAGAACGAAATAATTTTTTTTCTTTAAAAATAGTTCTAAGAGTGGAATTTTTTTCATATTATCGTAATTATCGGTGAAACAGATGCGTGAAAGAAAAAAAAAGTTAAATTAAAACTTAAATTAAAATGAAAAAAAAGTTAAATTAAAATTTTTATTGTTTTTTATGATCTATATTGTGGTGAAGAAAAATTTAAAAAAAAGTTTTTTTTAATATGTTTACTATGTACTCATCATTTTTTAAAATTTCATTTTTTGCTGATGCATATATATATAAATAGTCTTCGAAGAAATTTACACTTATATAAATGATATGAAACAACAAATTTTGATCGAATCGTGGGGGCACAAATTTATTACCGACAGTTCATATTACAAGTATGTCTTTTTAAGTGAGGCCATCTAAATATCTTTTCGAATTGTAATAATATAAAAAATATTTGTTTGCCTAATTTGAATGGTATCCAAAGGTCAATAACTGGTGAAAGTATTCTTTTCAAGGTAATTTTTTTTTTGAAAATTTCAAGGTTATTGATGTTTTATTTATTTATTGAAATTATATTTTGTTTTTATTGTATCATGTAATTGATAAAGAACGTGATCTCGAAAATTTAATTTTCACGTATAAATTTATTTGCATTGAGATCAGACTTTGGCCAAGATATGACAATTGAAGGTCAATTTTCTAATAAATATAAATGAACTTTTATATCTGTTACATCGTGATCAATGATAATCTCTGTTAATAATTTGAAAGTATTTTGAAATTTATCAGTAATTCATAATGGAATACTCGTAAGAAAAGATCGGTATATTATTTATTTGTGATGATGAAGAGTAATCAGTGTTTGAGAGAAGTACAAGTTCCAGTGTACAAAAATACATTTCCTAAATTATTCATCAAAATACATACCCAAAGGTAGTGAACAATTATCAAACTGGCAGTGTGAAAAAATATGTGAGGACTAAAACTGTTAATAACGAAAGAAATATTGCAGCTAAAGTTAACACTATGAGTGACTATAAGACAACTCGAGTGCAAGAATGGCATTTTTGATTGGCACCAACATAATACGGATATTATGAAAGAAAAATTTCACCCGTATCATTTATTTTCACATCAAGATTTATTTCACGGTGCAGATTTTGTAAATCGTATATATTTTTCTCAATGGGATTTCCAGCAATACGAAAGTATCAATCATTCTTTAAAAGAAAAACTTAAATTTTCGGATATCAATGTCATTTCATAGTCGTATCTAAATGAATTTTTTACACATATTACACTCTTAAATACTGTCTAATCTATTCTCAAATAAAATCTTTTACGATAAATGAATATCGTATCGATCTCTTTTGCGTTGAGAATAATTATATAAAATAGAAATATTTTAAATTTGAAAATATAAAAATTTATGTATCATTTTTATTCATCAAAATTGTTTGTAATTAATTGATTTTAATTGTATGGTACAATTTGTATGTAATATAATTTGTGACTAATTTATGTATTTTTTAAAATATGTCCAAAATTTAAAAGCATTAGTAAATTAAACAATATTTGACAAATATGATATTTAACAATTATGTTATGATACAGGATACGTCTAATGCAACATCAAATAATCCTACCAATCGCCGACAAAAATCGTGGGATCTTCTTGATCAGTCTGCACTCACTCAAGCTAAACAACAGAAACAATATTCAACTCATCAGGTATGCTTTATTTGTTAACTACATATAAAAATATTTTACCTTCAAAATTTATTCAGGAACTAATTTCTCAGTAAATTTTTTTTATTGCTTTTATATTTTGCAAATAATTATATTTTGTAGTTTTTAAAAGTATGTATGTACGTAGATATATAAACATATACACTAGCATTTAAAAGTATTGACTCAATGAAAAATTATCTGAAATTGTGTTTGTAAAAAAAAAAAAATCTTACTTAGTAATGCACTTGGCCTAATTCAAAGCATGAAGCATTTCTGTTTTTATAATCTTCAGTTCGTCTTTTTTAAAAATGTTTTTACATCATATAATAGATGGAAAAGTAAGGATACTTGTTTTTGGAAATTGCAACCATTGAAAATTTTCTTTTTTTATAATCCTCCATGATCTTGAAAACTGAAGTTTTTTTTTGTAAAGACTTTTTAAAATTTATTATCGCCATTTTATTGAAGTTTTTGAATATTACAGATAACTACAACAAATGTCAGGATTTCTTAATCAAGATGTCAAACGTTTTGTTGTTTAATCCTAATATTCAGATGTTCAATAAAATAGCCAAAAGAAATCGTACAATAATTTTTAAAGAATCGTTGTAAAGAGACAGATTTCAATTAGATTTTCAAGGTCTGTATCTAGTCAAAAACAATTATTTTCCTACTCATTGCATGATGCAAAAACATCTTTGAAAAAAAACGAACTCAAGATTTTTTTTTTAGAGACTTCAGTAGCGAATTAAAATAAGGGCGAGTTGAGAATTGTTATACGATTATTTTCGCAAAGTTATAATAAATAATTTAAAATATCGAGCATTTTTTCATTGAGTGTGTGAATACTTTCTTACGTCAGTATATATGTATCATTTGATGTATGTATATTTATGTACTTATAATTATTTTTTTGCCAGATTTGTACAATATTTTTGTTTCTTTGTTTGCATTTATTTGTAATATTATTTATTCATTGTGATATTAGTAATATTATTTATTCACTATGATATAATTTTTTGTTTTATATTTTTATTTACATTAGATCCTCTAATTTTGAACTACTTGATATTTGAAAATAAAAGGAATAGGTGGATATGATATAACTAGACATAGATTTATTTTTCGAAAATTCATAATTTATATTGTGAATCATTCTGAAAGCAAAAAAAGACAATAACAAGATTATTAATTTAAAAATTATTTAATATATGATTACTCAATACATAATATGAATAAAAAAATATTCATATTATGATATGAACTATAGGCGTTAAGGTTTTAAATATTTTTTAACGAACTAAAACTTTAAAATTCAATTTTTACATTAAGTAATATTATTTGTTGTTTTATATTCTTGTATGAACCTGTGTTTATTCTTTTAATGTCTATGTTCGCATCTGCCTATGTCTACCTTATCTCTGCCTGGATTATGTAAAACACAATGCAACTTATCACTTATACATATCATGCTCCATCAATTTAACCAAAAATGACGATGTATTCGTCATTAACAAGACCGGACGAATTTTATTTAAAACGCAGCGATCCTTTTCTGTACCAACTGCGAAGGAAACAAAGTCCAACGAGGAAGCTGAGCCAAAGGTATTTCTCATTCATTGTATATGTAATATTTTCATAAACATTTTAATTTATTAAAATTTATTAATGTTTAAATAAATACAAATATTTTTATTTCTATGAGGGTTAGCTGTAAAGTAATGAACTTTCGACTGTACTCTCAAAAATGAAAGTAACTATTGAAATTAAAAGGGATTATCCCATCGCTTTATCCCTCCAAGCTTGTAATGTATCATTCTACACGTTTTAACGTGTTAAGTACGAATATCATAACTATTTTTAATAGAAATTATAAAAACTTATTAAAATTGTAAAAAAATCACCAAACTAGAAAAGCCAATTGGATATATTTTATGAAGTCTTCAAATGAGTCTTCATTGAACCTTTTGCATTCACGGTATTCGATCAGATGTTTCATAAATGTTCTTTTCTTTTTTTATATATTCTTTGATTTAAACACTTGTCGCTTTAAATATTGTTATGTTGTAATGAGTTTTCTCGACGTCATTTGTCTTCTGTTTACAGGATGTTTTGAGTTGAATAATGATTCTGAGAATGCCAAAAATTTTCTTGGAACTTAGTGGCATTAGCAAAATATTGATATTGGTTTAGATTAAATAAATTCACAACCGGTGAAAGTCAACTGACAACACTTAACTTATTTCTTTATGTTTAAAATTTGACGCGTGAAATATATAAATATATTGCGGTACGAACATGTAATAAATCACTGCGAAAATTTTTGTGAATGTCTAAATCTCTTTAATTCTTCTACTTTTCTTAGGCTCACAATCACAGAACATTTGTTTGTTTGAAACAAAGATCCATCAGTGTACACTTCTGTTTTATCTGGATATTCTTCTGTATCAAGTTTTAATGTTTTAATTTTTATCTGGTTTATTACTGTCTTATGAGTTTATGAGACTTTATTGATTTTGACTGTATGTCAGAAACAAGTTTTATCATGGAAATTTTCAGAATTATTCCCTCCAGCTTTTACTACAAGTCTGAAAATCAGAAAATTTTTCTCATTCACAAGAATTAATAATATACTTTTCAATTTTCACATTTCACGCTTTGTATCTATTTTTCGTTTATATTTGACTAGTATTTCTTTTCTCAAATTTTGTTTTACTGTATATAAATAGTGAAACTGAAAATCTTCAAATATTTTATTTAAGGTTTTTTACCCTAATTTATATAATATTTTGCCTTGTTTCAAAACTTTACTTGATGCTTATATTGATATTAATTAAATATGTAGCAATAAAAATAACTTCGCATCAAAAAATTCTAGATTAATTGTACGAGTTTTTTCAATTATCGTCTTTATCGTATGCTCCATAATCTAACCATTTAATTGAGAGATTCATAAAATTGTTAAATGGTAACTAATACCTTTTTGCATATAGTATTCTCATTCGATGAATGTTCCCTTTCATTATTGCAATACAAATTAACAACTTTTAAATTGAAATGAATCCTACTTTCGCAACATAATTTAGAAAGATTGAGAAAACGTCTGATTTATATATAATTAAATATGTAGAATATATACTGACTAACAAATAAAACAAAATAATTTTTATTATTAACCGTAGGGAGAGTAATAAGTAGGTTTTACATAACTTTTATCTTTTTAAATGATAATCGCATTTGTTTCTTGTTTATACACGTCTTATATAAAATATCATTATTCTTCAATTCTGAAAATTTATTTATTTATTTTCCAACTGTTGAGGCTACAATTCATAACTTTCGTACTTTTATAGATATATCAGAGCAACAGAATTTATTGTATTTGTAGTAATCGCAAAGTCAATAGCAATTAAATTATTTAAACCTTTCATTATAGTTTTCTTTATCTATCTTTATGTATTTCCACATCCTTCCTATTAAAAATAATAGTCATTCCAGCAAATTATGGAAAGTAGAGGACATCTTCTAGCACTCTTTGAATACTTATATTGCTGATTACATATTTACGTTTTGTCTTCCTTTCTGTTTAGCTCGTGAAATTCAGTTTCACCGATATTCCGATCTCCAGTCGGAGATCTGTATAAGATTGCGATAAGACTTCAAATATATTTCTTATATCTTTCTGTATGTATTTATCGCAATCTGTACTCTGTATTCTTCTAGTAATATTTAGGTACATTCTTTTATGATCTCCAAATTATTTAAAATTTATTAATATGTATTGATGCGGTCCGAATGAAAAGTGTAATGTCATGATGACCGACATGGCGTTTAACGCGTTAAAATTTTCTATTGATGTTTGTATAAACTAATAACAAGCCTTTTCAATTGATAAAGTGATCTGATGCTCCAGAATTCAGTAAAATTTATTTTTTTCTCTCTTTTCACATTGATAATTTTCAATCATAAAAGCAAAACCTTGCTTCGAAGTTTGATAATGGCTGAGTGTAGAATGGATTACTCTCTTTTTCTCGGAAGTTCTTTTTTATAATAATAACAATTATTCCTTATATGCCCTTGTCTGCCATAATAGTGGATTATTTCACATTAAATAATCTTTTATTAATTTTTTTATTAATTTTGAACTTATTGTTCTGTGCTCAATGATAACCTTTGGAGATGATTTTGAAGCTTCAAAAATTATTTTTTTGCTCCTTTATTATTTATTTGAAACACTTGTTCTTCAATTTCACTTCATGAGTCAGAAGTCTAGTCAGAAGTTTTAACAAAAATGAGAAAATTAAGTTATCTTTGGATATTTCTATTATTGTTATTATACCATCATAATATGTTGAAACAGTTAATGAGACATTTTATAGTTTTTTAAATTTTTTGTCTGCAATAATTCTGTAATCAAATTATAAAAAATTGTGCTTTATTAAAAGTATATGTATCATCTGCCTGTAGTCTCAACTAATTTCTTTCTTTCGTACGATTAATTGAATAGCGAGACATTTACGTTTATAAATTTGATTTAAACTACGCAAATTTCATTTACTGTAATTTCTATAGAATCTAAGAAAGAATCTGATGAATATTCCATAAATAATAACACTTTTAGCAATTCGTTCAGTTTTATCCAATCTATATTCGGAATTTCATTATCAAGTCAAGAATTTCATGTCAAGTTAATTTTTAATTCCATAAAATTCAGTCAAATTCGTAAAATTTACTATACATACACTATATTTTTCACTAAAAAGATTTAAGATATATTCATACAAAAAGATATTTTCAACCAAAAGATTTAACGATATGCAAGTGTATAAAATAGTATATCCTTAGAATAATCGTATTCGTAAAATTTAACACCAAAATTTTAAAAAATACAAAAAATAAAATTAATCATTTGGTTTGTGAATGACTCATATAATATATATTTTTGTGAGGTGAATAGCTCTTATGAGATGAATAGCTTTTGTGAGATGAACAGCTTAAAAAGGCTGTTGTCAAAGTAAAGGATGAAGTATTTTAGAATGACAAGTATTCATGTAAGAAATAATGATCCATCATTTTTCAAGAGAATGATTAAATTGTAACGTTGTAATGGTTTTTTTTGGAACTTTCATTTTTGCGATGAGTAGATCATGATGCAAATAAAAAAAAAAGGAATTGATCTTGAATTTCAATGATAAATAACAATGCCACAATTTTCTTTCAATCTTATAGAAAAAATATTTATTGAACAATTAGATACATCTAATATAGAATATATAGTTTAATAATACACTAACTAAATAACAATTCAAACTAAATAAATTGAGTAACTGGAATATTAGAATTATATGATTGTTCAAGTAAATTAAAAATAAATTAGTTCCTTCAAATTAAAAGTTGAAGATTTACAAGTAATTTGTATAATATATTTCTATAATAATTAAAAATAATAATTATATTATTTAATATAATGGTTTTATAATAGAATGAATTAAAAGAAAAAATTATTTTGAGAACAAGAGCATTTCTTTAAAAAAAAATGGATATTTATCTTTAATAAATAACATATCTATTTGTAAATATATATTCTCAATATATTAAGTAGCTCAAGAATTTCAAGATATTAATTTGTATTTAAATAAATTCAGTGTAAAAAAATCATTTTCACAGAGCTCGTGTTATATATATTTATAATTTTATAAAATAAAACATAATTCTAAATAATGTTAAAAATATATAATTTAATTTCAAATCAAATAAATTTATTTATTTATTTTACTCAAGTGCATTAAATACATATTCAATTATTTAAATAATATTTATATTCGAGTAAATTAAAAATTGTATGTATATATGTATGTATATATACGTACAATAATTTTTATAGCTTTTGTCAGAAAGACCATTTTTTAATTTATTAACAGATTAATTGTAAAAGTAGATATTACAACGAAATTTATATTTACAATTTCAGTTGATTTAATTTTTAGTATAATTGTAATTGATTCAATTTTCTTTACAATTTCACATCACATTAAATTTATATTACAATTAATATTAAGATTTCATCAAATATTTTTATATTAAAACAGTAAATAATGTGTCAATTTTTGGCATAAGCAATCTTTTTATGAATGTTTTCTACGATAGGATTATATGGTATGATATCACTTTTTTTTATAGTTCTCGTATAGTTTAATTATCACTACAAATCAGTATAACTGATTATTATTTGAATCCTGTAATGATTCATTTAAACTTTAAATAAATTTTTAAACTGTTGCAGTAGTCTATACATCTGCATTTTACAATATAGTCAAAAATATTCAAGTAGTAGATGATGCATTTGAAACAAAATTTTTCTACAGATTTTTCCACAAAATAAAATGCATTGTTTTTGAATTGAAAATATCGTGAAAAAGATTGACTTATAGTTTAAGTATTTTTTCTTAAAAATGATCGGTATTTATCATCGATATATAGATTGTTTTCCATACGTATTTAGCAATAATAAAATAGCGTAAAGTAAAATCGAATGATAATTGGGTTTGCAATATTATAAATTCTTACGTTAATTTATGCTATTTTATACATCGTTAAAATATAAAAACAACTATAATTACATCTTTTTTTAAAATAAGAAAGTTAGTTTGAAGCTTTACCTTCCAATTATTACGTAATTATTAAAATCATTCACCTCGAATCATTCTGCGTGTATAATAAATATTCAATTTTTTTTTTTTTATTTTATTCACATTTTACATTTCTCATTTTTGTTTAATCTACACGTGATTTAAAAATGTTTTGCTTATTCTTGTACCGTTATGTTGATATTAAATAAAAGAAGTGACAATTTTCAGAATATGTACTTCATTTGACAACAGTCGAGACGCAATTATTTTACATTTTTATTCAATTGATAATACCTAAAACAATTCCAGTACATATCTCCAATATATAGAAATATAAAATATTATAAATTATACCAGATATACTAGAAATATAAAATATTATAAATTATACCTCATATACTAGAAAACAGAAAAAATAGAATAGAAAAGTATTTAAAATACAGAAGCAGAATAATTGAATATTTGTGAAAGGATTAAGCAATTGAGAAATTTTTAAGTAATTTTAAGATAAATTATAAATACTTAACATCTTTTTGAATTTTTTTAAAATTCTACATGTTAAAAATAGATGTATTCTATTTTAAAAAAGAGTATACCTTTCATCTTTACATATATTAACTGATAAAACTGGGTGAGAATATATGTATTCAATTTTGCCTTATGATATGTATAAAATAAGAGGATATGAATTCTATAATAAAATTTTTATAATATTCATTTTATAATAATATTTTTACATAGAATCGAAGTGCCAGAGTAAGCGTTAGCAACGAAAACAATGTATTGCTCGATCCAGAAGTACTGACCGATTTCTCAACCCAAACTTTGGTTTTAACTGTTCTGGTCACTTTGGTTAAAAATTCAACTGATGAAAACGAGCAGCGGATTCTTTACGAATATCTTGCGGAAGCTTCAGTGGTGTTTCCAAAAGTTTTTCCAGTAATGTAAGTTTCTTTATTTTTCAATATTTTTAATCAATTATGTGTTAAAAGAAAATCAACAATAATTATTAATAATTATTAAATGTAACAGTAAGTTATTCATTTAAAAAATTTTTTTTCATAATTTTAAGTAATAATAAATATAATTCATTGCACTATTGTTTGTAATAATTAATTTAAGGCTTATATTAAAATATGTGCACCTAACTTCAGAGTTAGATTTAGTATTTAATTACTATTACATAAAAATAGAAAATATCATCAAAAATATTGAACAGTATAAAATTCTTGTGTTACAGCTGCTTCTGTCTTTAAATAATTGGGTGAAACATAATATTGTATAATTTAATTGCAGATTGCATATTTATAAATTAATATCTAAAATTTTTATATAGAATCATCCATTAAGATGGCACTATATTAATTTTTACCGTTTCCTATTCTACATTAATTACATTAATCTATAAGTGCAAAAAAATTGAGTTCTAAGTTAATATGTTATAGAATGAATCGAAGCATTAGCTGAGTATATAGGATATTAATATATCCAATATTGATCTAACTGCAAATTATTTATTTGAATATTATGATAATTTAGAGTAATGAGCTCTAATTATCATTATTCTATCCATGTAATTAATTCGACGAATATCCCCGTCGTTTTTGAAAATAGGAAAGAACTTTATTAACAAAAATTGTTTAATACAGAGGAATAGAATCATAATATGAAGGTAACAATTCTTTTGTAGGTAAAAGAGTTCAAGGTCATTTGAAAATCACCTTTATTTTTTTAAGTGGAACGATATATTTTTTGCTCCTTTAGTCAACGTTACTTAGGATATTTTTTATGAGAAAATTAATTTAACTTTACGTACGAGTTGAAAAACTCTTAAGATATTTTAACCTTAATTCTGTAAAATCTATTGTATGAGTCCATATTTTTTTTTAGAAACTAAAAAGTTGCAAGATTGCAAAAAAATATACGATTCTATTTAAAAAAGAGTAACCTTGAAATTTCTGTTGCCACTTTTCTAGCTATACAAAAATTATCACCATATTATAGTCTCTTTTATACCAATCAATTTTTATCAACAAAATTTTTTCATATATTTTCTATAAAATCTGTATATGAAAGTTCTACATAAATATGAACGTTTTTCGTTTTTTTTTTTTAATATACCAAATTCACTCTTTAATTTTTTTAGAATTTCTCAAATATATGCTTTAATGCAAAAGATCTCTTTAACATCTTGTTTTTTAACTTTTCAATCATTAGCTACTAACTTGTATTAATAACTTAAGTTGTTACCATAATGTATGTACAGGGTGTTTCAGCGCTGGTAATACATGTGAAGTAGAGTTCTACGTGAAAAAATAAGTCAAATTTTTTTTTTTTT